CCAAATCACACACCACGACCCTAGGTCAACTGGAACTCTCTCACGGAGACCTATCCAGTGGAAGTCCGTAACGCCCGAAGGCAAACAGTCTACTGGCCAGAGACACGGTACATCCTATGTACCACCACACATACAATATACATGAACATGTTATCCTATATTATTTACATACACTTCCTACCATTACCCTCAACGGACATGGTGGAACACACAAGGGGATCAAACCCCTGTACCAAAGGATTACCTGTATAATCCTCTCCCACAACTCCAACATAATATATTTCCCGAGCTAGGTACACCAACAGAAATGCCTACACATAGGACATTCCCAATCAATTTTCCATTCACCAATTACATGCCAATTATCAAGCATAAATACGTGGTTCAAAATACTTACCACAATCCCTTTGGTCCGGGACCAAGGGCAACCAACCGAGCTCACGGTTCAAGGTTCAAATCCGCGGAAGGTAACCTACAACGACCATACGAATCATCAGAACACGGTAAACCACCAAATTCACAAAACGTCGATTTTTTCTCCACCCACCAAGTGAGGTTCGGCCATATTAGTGTAAAAATACAAATTATTTTTCTTTATTTTATTTCTATTTTTCTTAAGCATTCTAAGGCTACCCCAATGTCATTTTAGGTGCCAAATTGCATCCTACATCATCACGACCTCATTTTGTCATTAATTTCACTTTAGGTTCAATTTCCAATTTCACATAACCAACTACTTTTTCCTTTGATTTCCAAACATCCAACCATCACACAACCCTTCTAATTACCATTTAACAACCCACATATCAATCATACAATTTCACAACCTCCAATTCCCATTTTTCTCTCTCTAGGCCGAAAACCACATTGGCCAACACCAATGACCATTCAATTTAATTTAGCAATGCAATACATCCTAGCATCCTACTATTAACTCATATAAACATCCAACAATCACATTACACAATCCTAACAACAATCCCAAACACAAAGTCATGGCATTTCACCCAAATTTTTCCAAAAGTTATCATCAATTTTCACCAATAACTTTTATGGCATACAACACTCCAAAACATCATTCTAAGACATATTTATCTAATACACATTTTCCATTTGAGCTCTCTAACTACATCAATCACACAAAAAGTCTTTAGGGTTCATGAAATTGCATCAACAAATTCAACCAATAAAATGTGATGAAACTTACTCAAAATCTTGGTCTAGGGATCCTCCACAACATACTAAACCATTGGAGCATCAAACAACTTCATGAGTGCAAATCTACACCAAAAGGCCGCGGGTTTGGGGGGGGGGGATTTTCTCAAAATCTAGGGAGTTTCAAGGCTCAAGACTACTACCATGTGTTTGGGAGGTGATTTCCAACAAATTTCAAGACAAACTTTGGTTTATTTGGTGATGATTTGATGAAGTTAGAGGAGAAAGAAAATCAAAATGCAAATTGCCAAGGGGAGGGGGGTTTAGCGCGGGTTTGGAGAGAGAAAAGGAAAGGAAGGTGATGATGAATAGTCATTAGACATGTGGCTTAAGTGATTTTAAGTGAGGTGGGCCTCACCCCCACCTCACGCGATTTCAAAATAATTCAAAACTCCTTCTGATTCCACTAAACGTCCATACTTTCATAACCTATTTAGAAACTCTAATTTTTAACATTAACCATTGTCCTTTAATTACCCTTGATCAGATGAATCCAGAGTTTTTCGGTCGTTCGGAGAAAAAGCAGTTTTAAGCTGTTACGCGCGTCGTAGGCACGCTTCCCCAAACTTACTAATTTCCATCAGAATTCATATTTCCTATTCCTATATACCATTTATAACTTGTATTAAAAACCTAGAGCTCAAAATTCAATCGGCACACTTTACGGTGCAACTGTACCGCAATATTTTTACCTGGTAAAAACACTATTCACTGAATTTTTTGAAACTTGCCTAACCACTCAATTTTTCGTTCTGAATCCAATTCCAGGGTTATTTTTATCATTTGAGACCTTCTACTCAGTTTTACCTTCCTAGGGTTGCGTGTTTGGATAATTACCGTTTTACCCTTCCTTCGTATTTTGACATAATTTTCAGGATTTTCACTAATCCTTCCCTTTAATCCATGTTTAATATATTAATATATAATTTAGAAATATGACGTGTTATATTCACCCCTCCTTTTTGAAATTTTTTCCGCAAAATTGAATCATACTTGTCCACTAACTCACGATACAACCGGAGAATCTCATCCTCTCGCTCCCAAGTAGCCTCCTCAGGTGTACGTGCTTCCCATTGAATTTTTACTATTGGAATATTCTTACTTCTCAGCCTATTCTCACTGCGGTCAAGGACCTCAATAGGACCTACAGGAGTCTTCAAATTCTCCCGAATCTTAATATCATCCAGTATCACCACATGTGATTCATCTGAAATATAACGTCGCAGCTGCGATACATGGAAAACGTCGTGCAAATTCGACAACTGTGGGGGCAAGGAAAGCTGATAGGTCACTAATCCCACTTTTTTCATTATTTGATACGGCCCAATAAACCGAGGACTCAACTTCCTCACACCCAATGCACGACCAACACCCGTAACTAGAGATAACTGCACGAATACATGATCACCTTATTCAAATTCCAGTGGTCTGTGTCTATTATCATAGTAACTTTTCAAACTATTCTGCGCCTGTTTAAGTTTTTCTCTGATCATTTCAATCTGTGCTGTAGTTTCTTGCACAAAATCCGGCCCAAATATCTCTTTATCACCCAAGGAAGCACCGACACTTGAAAAAACAGGAAGAGTCGAGTCCGACACGCTCTGACACGCCGACATACTCCGACACGGTGTCGGACACGTTGACTATTTTTTTGACACGTTGACTATTCCGACACGCGAATTTGACCGTGTTCGACACGGTCAAATGGCATTTTCGTAAAAAACATGATATTTTAATAAAAAATTAAATATTTTAGAAAAATTAAATATATTTATAAAATTAAATATTATTAAGGATTTGGGAAAGTAAAAAACGTACGGCTCGCGGTGTGCTTCTTCTCGCGTCTCTTCTGGCTTTGTGTTCTTTACCCATTTTCCATCTCTCTCTCGCCGACAACTTAACGGCTCGCGGTGCCATTTCTGCGTCGTCGATTTCCCTCTTCGCCGGCGCTGAACCAGGAAATCCCTCTTCGCCGGTGCTTCTTTCTCTTACACTAAATAGGTATTTTCATTTCTTTCAGTTCCTATTCCGTTTCATTTTGAGATGTGTAAATTAAATTGAACGGGTTTCTTTCAGTTCCTATTCTGTTTCATTTTATCTTTAGTTTGATTTTCGAAACTGATCTTTGTTTCACTCGCCATTGCTTCGCCCTAATTTAAGTGATTTTTTTTCCAAAGCAGACCTAAAATCAAAGTGGTGGTCTCTCTGATCTCTCTCCATCGTCGCATCTGCAGGTCTCCCTGTCGTCCGTCGTGTCTCTGTTGCTGAGTTCTAGGAGGCCTCTCACTGGTCCGTCGTGTCTCTGATCTCTGTTCACTGGTATGAGTTCTACTGTAAAGACGTTTTCTTTTGGGTCATATAAACCTTGCTTTTGTTCTCTGTTCTGTTTCTGTTATTATGGTTGTTCTAGGATGATTACTTTTCTCCTTTCTTGAAATTATTTACTTTCTCCTGATGAATTCTTTGATAAATAAGTGATTACTTAAATTATGATAAATTCGAAGCCGTGCAATATGAAGTGTTTTATCGAATTGTATCCTATGGCTTTGGTTCACATCCATTTTATGTCAAGAATATTTTTTAATATTTGACTTTTTCACTGTTTTATTTGCTTATGATAGTGTTTTTCTTATCGTTTATTTCTTTATTGTTGAGATATATTGTGTGGCCTAGCTTTTTACTGTAGTTTAAGCTATTGCTTTGTATTATTGAGATGGATTACGGGAAAAATTTGGTTTTAGGTATATTCTGTTGTGATTGGCTCGGATTACTTATGTATGTTGTGGCTTTCTTCATGTAAATTTTACTTTTTCATTTTGATTATTGGTAGTTTCTATTTTTTCTCAGATTTTTCATTATCTTCATTCAAAAATCAAAATGAATATTCATTTGTACTAATTTCCGAGATTTTTTATTCTGCTTCATTTCCACACCTTTTCAGGTTTGATCAGTCCACAAAAGAAAAAATTCTTGGCTTCATTTTGGGTTCTGCTTTGAAATTCTCTAAGTATGGAAAGGTTTGATGTCTTCACACTTACTATTTTCTATTTTGCTCTTTATATGATTCTAGTTTCGGAAATAGTGATATAGAATTATGAGTTCGGGAAATGAAATGAAATTATAATTTTTTACTCTGTTGTGTTATCTGACTTACTAAGCACTGTAAATGAAATTATGAGTTCGGGATTTTTTATATGCTCTTCCCCACTCTTTTTTCTTTCGTTTTATTTTTGTTCAGCCTTGAAATTGAGATTTATTAATGCTTTCAAAATACTACATGCTTTTGAACTGATGGAATTTGATTTTATATAATTATTTTGTTCATAGTGTTTAATTTTATTTTTTTAGAATGGATTCAAGTATTGCAAGTAGTGGAGATGATGAATTTCTAAGGAAGCCATTATGGAAATATGTTACCAAAGTAGGCACCACAACGGAAGCAGGAGGGAATTTATCTTGGAAATACAATTTTGTGAAAAGGATTTTAAAAGTTCGTATACTAGAATAAGGGCTCATTTGCTTAAACTAGCAGGTAAAGGAATTGCAAAATGTTTACGTGTGCAGACAAAAGACTTGCTAGAGATGGAGAAATTAGAACAAGAAACTAGTGAGAGATTGAAGAGTAATGCACCCAAAAATGTGCCTTTACCCCCTTCTAGTTTTTCCGTAGAATCAAACTCGAAAAGAAGAAGAAGTGGAAGTGAGGGTGGAAGTTCATCTAGAAATCCCATTGAGAGCGCATTCAATGTTGGGGCCGAGAAGAATTGAACCACTTGATTGCTAGGATGTTTTATTCAGCAGGATTGCCATTCACTTTAGCAAGGAACCCATACTTTCAAGCAGCCTTCACTTTTGCAGCGGATTATAATATTGGAGGTTATTTGCCACCAGGATATAATTCATTGCGAACCACTCTTTTGCAGAAAGAGAAGGAAAATATTGATAGGTTGTGTGCACCTATTCGAGCTGGGTGGAAAGACAAGGGTGTTAGTATTGTGAGTGATGGATGGAGTGATTCACAAAGGAGGCCACTTATTAATTTCATGGCAGTATCTGATGGTGAAGCTATGTTTTTGAAATCAGTTGATTGTTCAGGAGAGACTAAGGATAAGCATTTTATTAGGATGTTGTTAAAAGAAGTAATTCAAGAAGTTGGGCATGAAAAAGTGGTTCAAGTAATCATGGATAATGCTGCAAATTGTAAGGGAGCAGGGCATCTTATTGAGCAAGAATTTCCATCTATTACTTGGACACCATGTGTTGTTCACACACTGAATTTAGCTGTGAAAAATATTTGTGCTGCAAAAAATGTGGAGAATAATCAAATAGCATATGAGGAATGTAGTTGGATTTCTGATATTGTTGGAGATGTTTCTGCAATAAAGAACTTCATAATGAATCATTCTATGAGACTGTCAATGTTTAATGAGTTTGTGGGATTGAAGTTGCTTTCTATAGCTGAAACCCGCTTTGCTTCCATGATTGTGATGCTAAAGAGGTTCAAATTGATAAAATGTGGTCTCCAAAATATGGTAATCAGTGAAAAATGGAGTTTGTATAAAGATGATAATCTAGGACGGGCAAGAATGGTTAAAGATAAGATTTTGGATGATCTTTGGTGGGATTCAACTGATTATATACTTGCTTTCACTGCTCCTATTTATAATATGATCAGGATTTGTGACACTGATAAACTGTTGCGGATCTAGCAAGTGCACTAGTCGTACAAGTAATAAAATGATGAGTAAAGATCGTTCCCACGAGGATTTGTGTCAAGCACTGACTAACCATATGTACTTGAGTTGAATCAAACAAAAGTTCATAGATTGCATAGATTTCTTGTCACCAGAAACTACACTGAATTGAATTAAAACTTGATAAATAAATAAAATGTAAATTATAATGTAAACAAGTAGTCAGATGTCAATTTCCCTCAAACATGAATTTATAGATGAACCAATTTCCATTATGAATTATCTACTATGTGATGTTGATCAACCTTTTTCTTATCATCTCAAGATGTAATCCCTTATTACCCTGATAGACACACTAATCAGAAACCCCAATCCCTTGGTGATTCCTTTCTTAATACATGCATTAATTACTAAGGTCTTAAGATCACATCAGAATCCTAGCATCAATCCCTTGACTACTAGAACACTGATGATGAAGTTGTCAAAAATAGAGAAACAATGTAAACATGTCTGTTCTACACTATTCCTCAACATGAAGAATTAATCAAGACAACTTCATACAATCATATAATAGATAAACAAAACATCTAATTAACCATTCATAAATTCAAACTTGAGTTCCATTGAATCAGACTACAAAGGACTCTCCTCAGACATAATACAAATAATAACAAGAGAAGAAGAAGAAAGATCAAACTCCATTGTCATGATAGTTGAGTCTTCAATCTTCAAGTACAATTACATGGCAAATACTAACTATTACAAGAACTAATCCTAAGAATTTGGAAATTCAGAGAAAATGAGGAGTCAGATCAGATCTATGAAAGACCTGATCTGATCTCCTTTCTCCTAGCGTGATGAGAAAAGTCAGAATGAGATATGATGGATTGGATCTGATATATGGAATATGTCAGAATGTGAAGACCCCTTGTCCTTTTATAATTTACAAATTACAACTGAAAACTGACATGGGCGCTAAAACTCTCATTTCTGGACGTTTTAGCGCTCAACCTTGACGGATGCCCAACTGTTTTTAACTGTCTTGGGCGCTAAAACGCTCAGTTTTGGGCGTTTTAATGTTCAGCACCAGCATCTTTTGTGCAACAGGGCGCTAAAACGCTCAGTTTTGGGCGTTTTAGCGCCCAACACTTAGAATTTTCTCATTCTTCAGAATCTTCTTCCTTCTCTCTTTTACTTCTTGAGCTTCATTTCCCTACAAAAACAATGTAAATTTTCAACATAAGCTTCAAAACTTGTATTTGAGAGATTTCCAGGACATTAACCTCTTTTCCATCCATTTAATCACACAAATTGATATTAATTCATGCTTAAAAACCTGATGAACTAAGGGTTCATCACAAACCTTGTCTTCATTTGATTTATGATATGTGGGATGACATGATTGTAAAAGTGAAGAAAGCTATATACTTTCATGAATTGAAGAGGATGGATGAGACCTCAACTTTTTATGAGGTGGTGCATGGCATTCTTGTGGATCGTTGGACCAAACATTCAACTCCACTTCATTCTTTGGCACATGCTTTGAATCCCAAGTAAGCTTTTAATTATGAATGAATTGAATACTTCTCTTATTTGATATAATTTGTTTAATTGTTTTTCTTTTTTTTTCTTTCAGATACTATAGTGAACAATGGCTTAATGAAGATCCTAGTCGAGTTCCTCCACACCAGGATTTAGAGATTAATCAAGAAAGACAAAAATGCTTAAAGAGATACTTTCCTAACTTGGAGGACCGAAATAAAATAAATTTGGAGTATGTGGACTTTGCTAGTATGAGTGGAGGTTTTAGAGATTATGACGCCATGCAAAATCGATATTCTATGGAGCCTAAAGCTTGGTGGGTGCTTCATGGTGCTTGTTCACCTATGCTTCAAAAGATAACATTGCGACTTGTTGCACAGCCTTCTTCTTCATCCTGTGCTGAACGTAATTGGAGTGCTTATTCTTTTGTGCATTCTGTAAGAAGGAATAAGATGAATCCAAAACGTGCTGAAGACTTGGTTTATATATATAGCAACCTTAGGCTCTTATCAAGAAAGACTTCACAATATACACAAGGGGATAATAGAATGTGGGACATTGCTAGAGATACATTTGAAGATGTTGGAATTCTTGAAGTTGCTACTCTTTCACTTGATGAGCCAGAGATGGAGTCAAATGTTATTCTAGATGAAATGTTCCATGAAGGTAATCTATAATCTTCATGTTTTATGTTTTTTTGTATGGATATGCTATTATTTTTGCTTTAGATCAATGTAATATGGTATTGTGGAAATGATTTTTTTTTTGTTAAATTGATGGATATTATTAGTTTAGTTTTATTTTTTGTTAAATTATTGAATATTAAATGAAATATACACTATATAAATTAAAAATATTATTTAATATTAAAACGTGTCGGAACGTGTCGAAATTCATATTTTTTTAAGATTGACGTGTCGGAGTGTCGTGTCGCGTGTCGCGTGTCGAGTCGGTGCTACATAGTTATCACCTACCTCAGTCCAACAAGTAGGAGTACGACATCTCCGTCCATACAATGCCTCATATGGTGTCATGCCCAGACTGGAATGAAAACTGTTATTATAAGAAAATTCCACCAGTGATAAGTACCTGTCCCAAGCATTACCCTGCTCCAGTGTGCAAGCTCTTAGCATATCCTCAAGTGTCTATATGGTCTTCTCAGTCTGAACATCAGTCTACAGATGATACGCAGTGCTCAGCCTGAGCTGAGTGCCAAAAGCCTGCTGCAAGGCTCCCCAAAAGCGAGAAGTAAATTTCGGGTCCCGATCACTAACAATGCTAACCGGTATCCCGTGGAGCCTTACAATCTTCTTTACATATAACTTGGCTAATTTCTCCGTAGAGAAATCCACTCGCACTGGCAGAAAATGTGCAGACTTCGTAAGCCTGTCCACTATAACCCATATTGAATCGTAATCGGCCTGAGTCCGAGGCAAACCAACAACGAAATCCATAGAGATGCTCTTCCATTTCCACTCTGGTATATCCAATGGCTGCAGTAAACCAGCAGGTTTTTGATGTTCTATTTTTACATTTTGACAAATTAAGCACCTTGATACATACTCAACAACATCCTTCTTCATCCCAGGCCACCAGAATTTCCCTTTTAAATCTTGATACATTTTTGTGGCACCTGGGTGGACAACATACTGACCCTTATGGGCCTCAACCATTACCTCCCCTGCTAACTCCTTGGGCACAACAATCCTACCCTGATACATTAATAACCCCTGTTCATTCAAAGATATGCCACTCTGCCCTTTCAAGTACTTGATACTGTCGTTCCGTATCTGAGTTTCTCTAATTTTCTCGTGTAACTGATTTTCAATCCGTAAGCACTCAAATTCATCTATCCTACCTGCAAAGACATCCGTTAATTTCAAATCCCATAATTGCTCAATCACTTCATTATCCCACATTATCAGCTGGGACACGCTGACAGACTTCCTACTCAAGGCATTTGCTACCACATTAGCTTTACTCAGATGGTATTTCAGTTCAAAATCATAATCTTTTAAGAACTCCACCCATCTTCGTTGTCTCATATTCAGCTCTTTCTGATCAAACAAATATTTCAAACTTTCGTGATCACTGAACACAGTAAATTTCATTCCATACAAAAAATGCCTCCAGATTTTTAAGGCAAATACAATAGCAGCAAGCTCCAAGTCGTGCGTCGGTTAATTTTCCTCATGAGGCTTCAATTGCCTAGAAGCATAAGCAACCACTCTCCTCTCTTGCATCAACACACTCCCCAAACCTTTCTTGGAAGCATCACAGTATAATTCAAACTCACCTTCCGGATCGAGAAGAGTCAACACAGGAGCAATAACCAATTTCTCTTTAAGAGCTATAAAACATTTCTCACATTCCTGGGTCCACACAAAAGGAGTATACTTTCGTGTCAATCGGGTCAACGGCAGTACCATCGTGGAAAATGTAAGAACCTGCACCGTTAATTAAGGAAGTTAATTAATTAATTAAGAGAAATTAGGAAATAATTCCATAATTGACCCTAATAATTATTACGAGGCTTAAATAATTATGGTAAGTGTTTATTAAAGCTGAAAGTCTCTTTTCTGACGAAAAGTGCAGATACTGATTCTGCTACTCGGTATAAATGCGTACCGACGAAGTATCCCGGAAAATTATAATAAGTGTGGGAATATTATTACTAGAATAATATATAGGACTTGTAAAACAAGTTTCAAGTCAAAATAATGAGAACTGGTGCTAGAATTGGCTATGGAAAAGCGCGTACCGGAAAGGTGCTGAGAAAAATAAAATAAAAATATGATAAATTTTGTAAAAATGAGCAGGTTCAGATTCCAAAGTGTGGGATTAAATTACTTAGCGTAGCAATTAGCGCTAATACAGTGCGATTAAGTTTAAATCGGCTATAAATATGACTTTTGCACAAAACCCTAGGCATTCTTTTGTTGCTCTACGTGGATGGGAGGCTGACCAGCACTCTCACACTGTTTCATTGCCTTCTCTTCTTCTTGGTGTGAGCCTAGAGGTCATTTCTTCGACTTAATCTTCTCCTAAACACCTTTTGTGAGTGAGGGATACCTTTGGGAGTGTGTGGAAGGCTTTGTTTCTGGGTTGGTGTCTGTTTTGTTGGAGTTTTGGGTGCTGGACTTTCTGGTTGAGTGTTGTGAGCTCTTGTGTTGGCACTTTGAGCTCCAAGAGAGTCATCTTGTGTACAAAGAACCAACCTTTGATCACCATTTTCATGCACTTTGTGAAGTCATACTTGAGGTGCTGTTGGTGAGCTCCAAGAGCACCTTCTTGCTCTGTTTTGAGCTTGGGTAAGTGTCACCCACCTTGACCTTGTGTTTTCTTGGTTAAAAATGGAACCTTGATGTATGTAACAAGCTAAAGATCATAACTTAAGGTTGGGTAAGGTTAAACACACCTAGAAATGCATATTTAAGCTTCTGTAATCGGTAAAAGTTGAACCTTTGGATTGA